AAACGCTGACTCTATGGCTTGGAAACGGGGATGAGCACTGCCTCCTAGAGTCGAACACGACTGGACAAAATTGTTAAGGGGAACCTTTACCTTTATCTTGTGAATCTAAATGTGGGGAAATACTTGATATTCACATGTAAATACTGACAGTCTTGCAGGTTGTCAGAGCGGTAGCACCTTGTTTTTCCACATTTTCTCCGGCAAGTAGAATGCTGAGAATAATTTGGGCTGAGAAATTCTGGGAAAGATATTCTAGGGGAGAAATAACCTATTTTTGTTGTTATTAAGCTCTGAAACTACCTAACCGGTCTTCAAGGGCAACAAAAATTTGTTTGATGTTGAAAATTTATGTGATGCATTGTCCATTTTACGGGCATCTCAGTAATGCCAATGTTGGTTTTGCTGTCAACCATTTCCATTTAGCTTTTTAAATATCTTTATAATGCTGTGAGGCGCCCTTGGGTCCTTTTAAGGAGAAAGGCGGGGTAAAAATATTTAAAATCACTATAATTTGCGGAAAAAGGTGGGGTAAAAATATTTTAAATCACTATAATTTGTACCTTGCCTCAAAATACATGCCGTTTCAAGTCTCCTGGTGCTTCCTGGAAAAAAAATCAAATAAACATTTTTTTAAAATGTGAATGGATAAAAACATATGCAGTTGAAAAGCCCTTGCTGCCACATTTCAGTCAAGCATGACGTCTCTGTCATGAAAAATGTGTATAGCACAGTCATACACGTGTGGGAAGAAATACCAAAGTCTCACAACCAAGTACAAAAGGATGAGAGGAGAACACACGAGAGATTTGGGAAAAAAACACAATGATAATTTCAGTATAGTTGCCAACTTTTTTCCCTGTCTGTGCTCTTGTGTGTGTAAGAGTAGTGTAAGAGACAGCCATCCCAGTGCCAGGTTTGTGTATGTGTGTGTGTGTTTGCAGCAACCAATCTCCTAGCTCCCCCGTTGTTTTTGCTGTTCATTGCTCTGATTGTGTGTCAGGGGTGTGTGAGAGAGAGTTGGAGAGTCTACTTTAGCAAAGCAAGACTGTGCACAAGAAGTGGCTATAGCAAGCAATCTCTTTTAAGTAAAGTAAAATCTGATCTGTAGAGAGGCTTCGAAAAGTAAACGGAGGACTTACTTGACTTCAAGGGTCCTCCGGTAGCCCTCCTCACAAGTGAGAGGGTGGGAAAGTATGGTGCAGAGGAGAAAGGAACGAGGTTGGTGGAATGGACTTCATCGTAGCTCTTTCGACTGGCTGGCGTCCTGCCGCACTGCTCCTCAACTGCGTCTTGTTTTTCATTTCGTGCAGGGCTGCATGGCTACTTTCTCCAGCCTTATGGGCTACCAGTATCACCAGATGAGGTGTGGGAAGCAGCCTTCCGAGGTGGAGAAGCCAGTCTTCGCTTGCCCACACTGTGGAAAGACGTACAAGTCAAAAGCAGGGCATGACTACCACGTGCGGTCGGAGCATCCCGCAACGGTGGGTCTGCTCACTTTGCTGTTGAGCCCCTGTAACCCTCTCAGCAATTACATGTTTGAAAAGTGGCTTTTGTTTCGGCTCACCAGCCCCAGAATCTTCTAGACACTGTAATCTAAATAGGTATCCTGCCCAGGTTCTGTTTATTGCTGCTGTTTTAATATCACTGTACAGTCATGCCCTGCTTAACGATTACCCCGCATTACGACGAATCCACTTCATGACAGTGTTTTTGTGATCACAATTGCGATTGCAGAACGATGGTCTAAATGGGGTTTTCTCGCTTTGCGAAGATCGTTTCCTTGCTTTGGGAACCGATTCTTCGCATTACGATGATCAAAACAGCTGATCGCTGGGTTTTCAAAATGGCCACCGGGTGCTCAAAATGGCTCCCCGCTGAGCTTAGGGACGGATTCCTCGCTATACAGGCACCGAAAATGGCCGCCATATGGAGGATCTTCGCTGGATGGTGAGTTTTTAGCCCATTGGAACCACTTAACCGGGTTTTAATGCGTTTCAGTGGGTTTTTTGTTTTCGCTTTACGACGTGTTCGTTCTACAGCGATTTCGCTGGAACAAATTAACGTCATTAAGCGAGGCACCACTGTATCTTCTGTAGTGCTTTGCAAGGTTTAGCAGGCTGGCAGTTGTAACAACTGTTCAGTTGGATGATTTGACACAGAAATGAGAGGTGGAAAAAAAGTGCTTTGCTCAAGGGGACACATGGCAAACCTTCTTCCAGCTTCATTGTGCATTAAGAAGGTTTAAACTCTCAGTCTGCAAATGGTATTATAAACACCTAGGCCCTCCCCTGTATGCTTCTTCAATATGTCTGCGCCCACTAGGCCCATATGTCTTTCTATTTTTCATTATCAGTGAGAGCTAGGACTAGAGTTTGCTAAAGGAATATATTTGTTGCAAATGCCGGTAGAAAATGACCTGATCTAGAATAAAGTGCAGATTCATATTTTGCATGTACCACCTTTTCTAACACAGTTCTCAGCTCAGAAACAAACAAACAAACAAGCAAACAGAAAATTGAAGACATGTTTTAAAAAGTACGTATCAGAACCAAAGTGCCCCCCTTTTAAAAAAAATTGCATATTTTACATGCAGATTTTGGGGTGGATTTTTAAAGTAGGCAGCTTTAATATGGAAATGGGACAGAAGAGATGTATAAGTGAATATGACATGCGTGACAATGATGCAAACGGGAACCTCATCTTTTCTTTACTGCTCTTTTAAAGAAAAATGTTACTTCAGGATGCACCAGATGCTGTGAGCCAGTCTGGGCTTAATTTCCGATCCTTATGCAAAAGGACAGTACAAATCAAAAGTGAAATGCAAATGAAATAGTAAATCCTTTCCGTGGGCTAAATACGATCTTATAACTGATAACATCTGATACTGCCCAGAGCCTAAATTCAGATTTTAGATCACTGACTGAGTGGAACTTTTGTGAGTATTGACTCACTAAGTTCTACTAATTCAGTGGGTCTACTCTGTTTGGGGCTAACAACTGGAATTAGGACTTGTGGTGCTGATCCATCCAACTGTTAAGGCAGAGTTTAAACCTCCTTCCTTGCTCTCCATTCCGATGCTCACCTGGTAACTGCCTCCATTTGAAAACCTTTCCCTGCTTTCTTAAGCCTCCAGAACAGCCTGAGATAAAGCCGGAAGCCAGCCCAGCTGACGATTTAGAGAGGACTCCGAGCGGTAGGATTCGGCGCACGTCAGCCCAGGTGGCTGTCTTCCATTTGCAAGAAATTGCCGAGGATGAGCTGGCCAAAGACTGGACTAAACGGAGGATGAAGGACGATCTGGTCCCTGAAACAAAACGGGTAAGAGCCTGAGTCTGCCCAGGTAAGTTTGGAGGGTCAGGTGGAGAGAGAGAAGTGGAGGATTTTGCTTTGTGGTCTGGGAGGCATATGGGAGATCAGAGCAGCTAGCTGAGGTTCAAGCTCTTGAGCCAGCCACTCTGTCAAACCGAGGAGAACCAGCTCCTTTTCAGTGCCTGCAAAAATGACATTTCTGAACAACTCCCAACATCCCCCAGCATGCTTGGTTGGGGATTCTGGGACATGCAGTGCAGAAAACACACGACCTCGCCAAGTTTGGTTCCAGAATGTTAACCAGTTAGAGGGAGATCAGAAAAGGCAAGAGGTCTGGCAGATTCACCGCTACCTTCTCTCATGAAACAGTCCCTTTTTTTGTCATCCATTTCCACTAACGACCATTTTTAATTTGGCAGCTCAATTACACCCGTCCTGGTCTTCCGAAGCTGAATCCAGGGCTCCTGGAGGAGTGGAAAAATGAAGTGAAAGAAAAAGGTCACATCAACTGTCCAAATAATGTAAGTGTCTGGTTCCTGTAGAAATGTTTGTGAAATTAGAGGGAAGGTCCTCCAGTTAGGTTTTTCCTACCTGGAGACTTGAGGAGATGTTTGGAATCAGTCATTAACGATAGAGGACATAACGAGGGTAGGAAGCGTGGAAGTTGGTCCTTGTTCCCTCGTAGCTCGTTGGACTTGATGCTCAGTTGGTTTGTAGCACATCGCTTGGTGAAGAGGAGTTTGTACTGTCCTTTCAGAAGGGCGCATTGGTCAGGATTAGATTCTTCTGCCCCTGGATTCTGCAGGAATTGTAATCTCTCCTGGATTTTGGAATCCCAGCTCTGATGCAAAATTTATCAGGCTCCGCTTCTTTGTTAAGCCTCTGTGTGGCCTGTTTTGACATTGCTGACTGTTCCTGGAAGCAGGAACGTACGACGCAGTCTTATATGGCGTCAGGCCCTTGATCCTTGAACAGTCAACTCTGATGGGCTATGACTTTACAGGCTTCCACACAAGTTCCTTTCTTTCTCCTTGGTGAAGAATCTTGGTATTTGTCTGGTGGCCTGTGATCCAAGTTCTAACCAGGGCTGACCCTCTTGTGCTTTTGCAGTCAAATGAGGTCGTGGTGTTTGGGGTAGTACCATGGACACCTACACCTCCTGCATCCAAGTCGGAGAACTACCGTATTTTTCCGTGTATAAGACGCCCCATGTATAAGATGCCCCCCCCCACTTTTCTAATCCAAAATTAAGAAATCTAAATGGGGCTTAGCAAGTGGAGGGGGAAAGGGATCAAAGCACTGCAGGATCGCTTTGATCCCTGCTTTCCCCTCCACTGGTTTTTTTTCCTCCTCAGCTTACTTCCGTGTATAAGACGACACCCCAATTTTTAGTCTAAAGATTTTAGACAAAAGTATAGTCTCATACATGGAAAAATATGGTATAATCTGATGGGGCTCTGCCACTCTACCCTCCAAGGCGCACACCCGTGTGGACACACACAGCTCCGCCAGCGCCGTGTGGTGGTCGGCCGTGTGAATGGCTGTTTACTTCCAGGTTTCCGATGAAACCCTGTCCTCCACACACAAGACCAGAGAGGCTTCCATGCAACAACAGGGACGAAAATTAGAGGGAGTGCTGAGCTCTGCCATGACGTTTCATTTTTTCTGGGCTGCTTAATTTCCCCTAGGGTTTGGACAGAGATTGGGTCCAAGAGTGTCATTCTGTTGCTGAGAGAGAGAGAGAGAGAGCCAGTGGGTCTGTTTGGGCTACCGGATAAGATGCCGCAGAAGCATTTATATTATTTCTGGCGTTAATCTGCAAACTGCATGCCCCGTGAGGAACAAGCAAGTCAGGCCCTGCTCATGGGGAAAGGCGCTCTTTCGGGCGCTCTTCACGGTGGTGGCCTTGATTCAGTTCTGCGTCATTATGTACCTGTGATTTTTGTACTGGTACTTTTTGTGGTGTTTGTGTATCCTACTGTGTTCTAGGTAACTTGTCAGTACCCTGACTAACAGGGCAGAAAGGCAGGCTGAAAATAACTCAGTGGTTCAGACAACTCTGTCTCCTTAACAGAGGCTGGACTAGATGATCCCTAAGGGTCCCTTCCAGCTCTGTAGTTCGAAGATCATCATCTTCTCCTTCTTCAAAAACACCAGGCACAGTCAATCAAAACTATAAAAGCACTGACTGGTATTATAAAACAGATACAAGTTTTAACTCAAAACCTAAGTACCTGTTAAATATCAACGCAGTATGTGTGTTGTTCCTAATATTGTTGGGTTTTTGTAGCTCTGATGGTGTGATTTCTGGGGTGATGATGGGGACGATGGTTGTTGTTCCTCTTTTGAAATTTTCAAAAATTTTGAAACTTGAGGCGGTCTTAACTTTGGGCACATCACGAGAAGACGGGATTCTCTGGAAAAGGCCGTCATGCTGGGAAAGGTGAAAGGCAGCAGGAAAAGAGGAAGATCAAATATGAGATGGACTGACTCCCACAAGAAGCCACATGGTTGAGTTTGCAAGAACTGAGCAGGGCCGTTGAGGACGGGACATTTTGGAGATGGCTCATTCATGGGGTCGCCGTAACTCAGGAGCGACTCGACAGCACGTAACAGCTTTTGATGTAAAGATTCCTCAAGGAGGGATGTGGAGCTGGAAGGGACACGCTTTGCCCAAAAGGGAGAAAAAGTAGAGATGAGTAGTGATTGGAGATGTAGGCCTCCAAACCAAGCTATCTTGGAATTTGGGGTCTGAAGAAGAGAGCCATCTGTGATCTGCAGGAAGTCTTCTTTCTAGGACATGCGTGGAAAATCTTAACACTGGAGCAAAGGCTGGCAGAGTTCCTCCTTTTGGATTACAACACCCAGCATCCTCTGCCAGCACACTGGTTGGAATTGTAATCTTAAAAAGCAACTTTTGCATGCTCTGCCCTGGGGAAATTTGCTGTCGCAGGAGACGAGAGGCATTCGACCCTTAAATGTGCACCCAGCAACATGATTCACAGCTCTGAAATGGAGGATTAACCCACTTTCCCTCGTGCAGCGGCCTTGCCACCATTTGCTCCTGTAAGATCTCTCATCCACTCAGCAGGGCCGTCCATTTACTGCTTGGAAAGACCCAGGGGTTCAAAGATCCATTTACGGATCATCTTCCTCTGCTGGAGAATCGAGCCATAGGAAGCCCATTCGTCTCAATAAAAAGCACGTGGCGAAATACCCAGGGATAACGTGTAAGATTAACGACGGGTTGATTAGTTGGAGCTTGTAAAGAAAGAGGTGGTGGGAGCTGGAACGCAGGAAAGGGAGGTTGGAGGTTGAGAGAGAACGATGGGGAGGGAATCCGCCTGCCCCGTTCCCTGTCTGTTTCATCATCCCCTTCTTTGTCTCCTTTCAGTGCTGTGCAGCCATCTATTCCAGTGTGTCGGGCCTGAAAGCCCACCTTGCGAATTGCAACAAGGTAAGAACATGGAAGGAGCTTCTTACAAACAACCCATCGCTCACAGTAAATTCCTTTTCTGCCATCACCAAGGCAGAGCTAAGATATAGGGTACCCGGTATGGTGTAGGGGCTGGAGCGATGGGCATCCTGAGATGCGAGTTCTAATCCCTGCTTGGCCATGGGTGAGCTGATTCAGAAAAAAACAAAGCTGGTAAAAGCTCAGATCTCTTTCACTTACCTTTGGTGAAACGTAGATTCTTGAGATAATACATGAAATAACACAGTCCTTAATCAAAGCTTGCTTTTTAAGTGGTATACTAAAACACACTCATTTTCCATGGTGAAGTGAAAATATTAACGTGTCCAAATGAGGTCAAATGGAGAGTGTTACCTAGTGGTTAGAAAGAGTGAAATGTTGTAATTACAGTGATGCCTCGCAAGACAAATGCCTGACGCAACGAAAAACTCGCAAGACGAAACCGTTTCGCGATATACATTTTTGGTGACTTGCAAGACAAATTTTTCTATGGCCATGCTTTGCAAGATGAATTTTTTTGTTTTTTGTTTGTTTGTTTTAAATTGCACAACCGTTAGTACCGCACTTCGCAAGATGAAATTTTCACAATACGACACGCGGAACGAATTAATTTCGTGTTGTGAGGCATCACTGTAGTGGGGTTGAGTGCCATGGACTCACTATTTTCGTCTTATCTCATGCCACAGGTCAGTGGATTGTAGCTGCTTGATTTTTTGCATCATTAAAAGGACACCCCATCCTTTGCTCATTTTTTGTTGGATCAGAACATGGCAAAGGATTTATTCAGGTCTTTCAGATTCTCTGGAAATGTATTTTATCCATCCCACACCTTCCTGCTATAAACTGAGAACCCAGTCCCGTTTCAAAGACATTTCTTGGCCCATTCGCCTCACCTCCAGATCCTCTGGGAACTCAAGCATTACATTCTTGTCAATAAAGAACATATTACACCCTCTCTAGGCAAAATGGGAAGCTGATTTTTCACAAGGTCAGTGATAACGAGAATCCAGCTTTTTAATTAGGTGCTCAACAGCCTGAGAGAGAAATTTCGAAGGCTTATTGATCCAATCAAGTCATAAATTAGAGAAAGATGCCAGTGCTTGAACTGGAATTCTGTAAAGTGGAATGAAACAGCTGACGTCGGTGAATATGGCATGTCCAGCAACGTGCAGTATAAAACAGCTGTCGTGGCATTTAATAGTATTAACGACAATTCTTGTTATTATTACTGCTACGGTTCTTATTGTTTCTAGCAGATTTTGCCACCAAGGTTTGAAATACCTTAAGACAGGTTCTCCCAACCCACAGCCTTCTGGATATGTTAAATGTAAGAATGGATGAAATCTGCCAATTTTGGTTTCTCTTGATTTCTTATTTTTCCAGTTGTGTCCTGAAATCAAGGATTTGGGTGTTCTTTAAACTCAGTTAATCACAAACTTGAGGGGGACAGGATATGTGTTCTTTCTTTCTTTCTTTCTTTCTTTCTTTCTTTCTTTCTTTCTTTCTTTCTTTCTTTCTTTCTTTCTTTCTTTCTTTCTTTCTTTCTTTCTCCCCCTTTCTCTTCTTTCTTTCTCTTTCTTTCTTCTTTCTTTCTTTCTTTCTTTCCTTCCTTCCTTCCTCTCTTCTTTCTTTTTCTTTCTTCAAGTCAAGTATCTATACCCCATCTTTTTCCATTGCAATATTTGGGGAAGGGTGAATATTGACAGAGACCGAAGGTATTCTGTTTCTTACATATTATACCCTATATGTCCTCCAAGAAGTGCAGTGCACTGTAGCTGTTTCTAGGTCTTTTCACGTTATCCTCACAGCAACGCTTCAAGATAACAGATACAAGGGAGAGTGTGTGTACCTCAAGGGCACCTGATACGTTTCAGACGCAAGTGGGCATTTGAACTTGTGCTTCCCAAGTTGTCATGCAGTATTCCAGCCAGAGCTATAATGGGTGGTTTGGTGCCTTGGGCTTCCCTGCGCTCTCGATCCAGCTCAGATCATATGATGTCGGCAAGCACGGGGAAAGGATGAAGGAATGGGAGGAACGTCTGCATCTGAGGAACAGGAGTCCTATTGGCTCTTGCCTGTTTTATGATCGTTTCTGCCCTAGGAAGGAGGGTTTGGAGGCAGTATAAAAACAAGGACGTTTGCAGGTTTGTGCACTTCGCTCAGCAAATGCCTGAGCTATAATGGGTGGTTTGGTGCCTTGGGCTTCCCTGCACTCTCGCTCCAGCTCAGATCACATGACGTCGGCAAGCACAGGGAAAGGATGAAGGAATGGGAGGAACACCTGCATCTGAGGAAGAGGTGTCCTATTGGCTGTTGCCTGTTTTATGCTTGTTTCTGCCCTAGGAAGGAGGGATTGGAGGCAGTATAAAAACAAGGGTGGGGCAGGTTTGTGCACTTCGCTCAACAAATGCCGACTGATGGGTTCATGGCCTTCTGCTGGCAGTTTTTGTGTGTATGTCCTCTTGATTTCGGAACCGTGGGGCAAAGTGCCGGCTGCCCTGCCCTAGTTATGGTTCTGACTTCATCCGCTTCTCTCCACTAGTTTAACAACGATCCCCTCCAGAGGTTCTGCCAGAATAGCTGTGGATTGCTTTGCAAAAACAGTAGTGATAACAGTCAGATATTTAGCCATAAACGTAGAAATTTACTTGCAGCCACCTAGCCTTTGGGCACAGGCACCTCGTGATTCTTTTCCCCACGCCTGACTTGAATGGTAGAACTGCATCTCACCCTTTAGTCTTCCTGGTGTTGTTGGATTTTAACTCCCCGAAATCTCAGCCCGCACAGTCAAAGTTCAGGGATTCTGGGAGCCCAAGCCCAAAACATCTGGAAAGGCCAACAAATGAGAAACATGGTCTTAAATAGCAAGCACCAGTGAACTGAAAGGTGGTGCTGGAGAAGAACGCTGCAGATCCCCTGAACGGCCAGAAAGACAAACAAGGGGGTCCTGGATCAGATCAAGCCTGAACTATCTTTGGAGGCCAAAATGTTGAAACTTGAGGCTGTCTTGCTTTGGCCACATCGTGAAAAGGCAGGAGTCCAATGAGAAACATGGTCTTAAATAGCAAGCACCAGTGAACTGAAAGGTGGTGCTGGAGAAGAACGCTGCAGATCCCCTGAACGGCCAGAAAGACAAACAAGGGGGTCCTGGATCAGATCAAGCCTGAACTATCTTTGGAGGCCAAAATGTTGAAACTTGAGGCTGTCTTGCTTTGGCCACATCGTGAAAAGGCAGGAGTCCTTGTTGTGGGTTTTTCGGGCTTCTTGGCCGTGTTCCGAAGGTGGATTTAAAGGCCAACAAATGAGAAACATGGTCTTATATAGTAAGCACCAGTGAACTGAAAGGTAGTGCTGGAGAAGAACGCAAAAGACAATAATGCTGGGAAAGGTTGAAGTCAGCAGAAAAAGGGGAAGATCAAATGCTTGATGGATTGACTCCCTAAAGGAAGCCAAGGGGTTGAGTTTATAAGAGCTCAGAAGGGCTGTTGAGGAGAAGGGCATTTTGGAGATGGTTCGTTCATGGTTCATCCATGAGTCAGAGGCAACTTGATAGCCTATAACAAAAAGAATATGCACCAGTCCAATGAGGGACAGATTGTGTGATACAGTTATATCTCATCTGCACCATTTCAGACCTGTGTTCAAGTCCGAAGGTGGATTTTCCTAACGTTTCACCAGTCTCTGTGGCCGGCATCTTCAGAGGACAGCAAACTGTGCTGGAGTCCCTGGAAAAGACAATAATGCTTGGAAAGGTGGAAAACAGTAGGAAAAGAGGAAGCTCAAACATGGGATGGATTGACTCCAAGGAAGCCAAAGGGTTGAGTTGACAAGAGCTCAGCAGGGCTGTGAGAAGGGCATTTTGGAGATGGTTCATTCATGGTTCACTATGAGTCAGAGGCGACTTGATAGCCTATAACAAAAAGAATATGCACCAGTCCAATGAGGGACAGATTATGTGATACAGTTATATCTCATCTGCGCCATTTCAGACCCATGTTCAAGAGAATGCTTGTAGTTAGAAGACTAGTTGGACCGAGGGAAGGACAGGTTACCATTTTGGCCTTTTAGGCAGACATGATTTGTTCCCAAATCTGTCAAGAAGCGTATCATTATTAGAGCCCCCCTGAGCCACTCATATTCAAGAACGGAAGAGTTATTATGTGTAAAGAGTTGTGGCTGTTGCAGACGGAGGTTGCCGTCGGAGGGGAAACTCACACACCGCTGGCTTTTTGCTTTGCAGGGAGACCACTCCGTGGGGAAGTATCGTTGTCTTCTGTGTCAGAAGGAGTTTAGCTCAGAAAGTGGAGTCAAATACCACATCATTAAGACTCACTCAGAGGTAAGCATCAGGTTTTGTTGACCAGGAGGACCCTGGGGGGCGGAATAGCAGGTGTTAATTGACCATCCCTAGGGAAAAAAAAACCCACACACAGAACTAGCTCGGTCAATGCGTTTCTCTCGCCTAGAGATGGGCACCGACCTTGGTTCACAGTTTTCGTTCTGGTTCGTATGCACAGCACCGCAGGAAATATTTTTTAGGACTAACAAAAAGACCAGTGTCTTCCTCCAGCTGTGCTTTGCGACTCTCCTGAAACGGATGGGTGTCTGATCCAGCTGTGCAGTTTATTTAGATCACTTTAGTTGATTGTTTACTTGTTCATTTATTCAAAACATTTCTATCCTGCCTTTCTCCCCGAAAGGACCCAAGGTGGTCTAGAGCCTTTCTCCCCGAAAGGACCCAAGGTGGTTTAGAGATCATTGAAACAGTATTTAAAAGCTAAAAACAGTGAGTATACAAATATTAAAAAAGAATCAAGCAAGTATTCTATTAAAATGGTAGCTCAGATCAATATTAAAACGCACTTAGACCAGCGTTCTCCGTTTTAATGGATTCGTTTAAAACTTCTATTCTTTCAGACTGAATAGTCATTTGAAAAGAAATCCACAGATTATAAGGTAATCTTCTCTGGGGGTCATTTATTTCCTCCCTCATACATGCCACAGCAGGATGGTCAAATAACGTGGGATTTTTTGCACCCTTGTGTTACATTCTAAGTAGCATTCATACCATGGGCTCATCAGGATTCTTCTATCTTCCCCACCCCCGTTTTATTCATCAAACGCAGAACTGGTTCCGAACCTCAGCGGAGGCCATCCGGAAGAAGAAAAGTGGGGAACACGGCCTTCCCAGCCATGAGGAGAAACATAAAAGCACAGACGGGAAAAAACGGGGGCGAAAGCCGAAAGAGAGGCCCCCAGAGGCTTTCATGAACAGCAAAGAAAGCATGGCAGGAAAGACTAACCACAAGAAAACGACAGGGTTGTGGCAAACGCTGGACTCCACGCCGGACGGGAGAGAGAAAGGTAACAAGACTCCTCAGAGCAAAAAAGGGCCAGAGAAATAAGGAATTGAGGAAAATATATACATATATATATATATGACTCTCTGATGATTAGTTTACAGCCCAGGGTAATGGGGCAAAGGGGAATAATTCCCCCAGAGCTGAGCCCCTCTACCATCTGCTCATCCCCTTTTAAAGCAAGAAACCACTTTAAAACGTAACGATGGACCTCTGATTTCCTGCTGGAAGAAGAAAACAGGACAAGATGATTCTCCCATCGCGAACCTCCCATCGGATCACGCAGACGCCTGCAGCTGTTCGCCTCCATGGGTCTTGGGGGCTGCATCCGTTGTCGGGTGAAATGATAAGCTGGTTAATGGTGGGACGCTACGTCCATCATATCCTCCTCTTCCTCCTCCTCCTTCTGTGTTGAGAAGGGATGGTGGTCAACCAGGGGAGAGCGGACGAGGGCTGCTCAAGCAGAAGGGGAGAGCTAAGTGCAATAGGAACCCAGGTGTAAGCTCGTCATCCTCTTTCTCTGAATTATTATTTGTGGATTGCTTTTTTCAGGTAGCAGTCATGTGTTAGGAAAAAATAGAGCTGGTGGGAATTCTATGAATGAAATTATTGTTCGTGATTGTGGTTGCATAACCAGCTTTCTTTATAGTTTTCAAAGCAAATGCTTTTTAAAAAAAACATATATATATATGGTGAGATTGTTTGACAATTAAGAGTTCCAGAATTTTGTTGAATTTAGGGGACGGGTTTATGATGACGGCCGTGATTAATTATATTGATTTCAGAGCTTAGTTTTGTTTTCAGTTTGGCAAGCAGCTGGCAGCCACTTTGGAGTCTATAATTTCAACATCAAGGTTGCAGGAAAAATGAGGAAAAAGATTTAACTGAGTTGGGGAGGTGCTTTTTGCAGAGAGCTTCCCCTGAAACTTTTTCTTGCAGAGTTAATTGCCTGCATAGGGTTTTTTTAAAAATAAATACACAAATAAAGCCGCAATACTGTATCTTTTTCTCAAACAAAAGGTTTTGAAGGAAGCCATTTGTTTAATATTTTCAAGAACATGCGGAGAGAAAGAAAAAACAAAGTAGGCTTAATTGATTGATGAATTCATCAGTCAGGTGATTTCTGTAAAGTATCCAAAGTCTGTTTCTGTGGGATACTGCAGTATATAAGGAGGAAACATTCTGGTATATTTGTTATGTTGGCTCATCATATGGAAGTCCCACCATCTACTTGTTACAAGTCATTGAGTCTCAGCTGATCTTGCACAGGTCACATGACACATGCGTCCATTTTGGGACCACTAAGCACAGCACATTGTACACGGCTTGTGTCAGTGGTTGGCACAGAAATTCTTAGGGATGAAAATGGCTGACATTTCCCAATTGTGGTTGACACCTTCCCCCCCTTTTTTTTTCTTGGTTGCATCCTAAAGCATGAAATGTAGACCACTGGGAGATGTGTCTAGGTCTCATAAATGTGGTAAACGTAGGTCAGGGCTGTACCGCTTCATGGCATGGAGAGGAAGGTGTCTGGAATCCGATGCTCCTTCACTAGACTTAAAAGGAAAGGACTATAGCTTCTTCTTCTTTCTTACGTGTCGCGTTCCTGCATACAGAGAAAACATTTTGACTTTTTGAGGAGGAATTTCCTATCTAGTGAGCTTCCCCCTGCAGCCTCAGGTGGTACAGCCCTGACACAGGCTTCCTGTCTCAGTAACAACAGGATGGGAACACATCCTTATAGGGCCATTCTTTGTCAAATGTAAATTCTGTGGACTACAGATCCCAGTATTCTGTAGCTAGTATACTGACCATACTGACTGGAGGATTCTGAGATCTGTAGTCCAATGGTCCCCAAACTTGGGCCTCCAGATGTTCTTGGACTTCCAACTCCCAGAAATCCTGGCCAGCAGAGGTGGTGGTGAAGGCTTTTGGGAGTTGTAGTCCAAGAACATCTGGAGGCCCAAGGTGGGGGACCACTGCTGTAGTCCACACAAAGTTACTTTTCCCAGGCTCTGCAGTTTTTAATGGTGGCAGATCAGTGATAAGTTTTTCATCTGCCCTCAGCAAAATGTCATTCAGTGCCCCCAGCCTGACAGAGGGGGTATCAAAGAGGGGCTAAAGAGTCTTCCTACCGTTGTCCTGCCTTTGTCTTGGGACAGAGAGTGAGGTGGTGATGACAGTTGCTACGGAGACAGGTCAAGGATCAGAAGCATGTCCTTCCTTCAGTATTGACATGATGCCATCCTTGATCAATGCAGATGTAAAGCTTCAATGTGGTAAATGCTAACCTCAGTTTGTTGTGATAACCCTGGTTGTGACCTCAAGCTTCCAAAGAAACCTGGGTTTAATTTGCCTGCCCACTCCCAGCTGCTGGACCTCATATGCGTGGAAACCTGCTTGCCATCTCTGCAAACAAAGGGGCTGGTAAGAGTTGACTCAGGATAGATAAAATTCTTCAAGAAAATAAAATTTCAAGTCTGCATAGGGCCTGTATTGTTTGGGATAAACCCGAAGACATTGTTGGTGTGAGCCTTCTTGCCTCTCCGTAGAGGCCAGTGTTAAGGACAGCTCCCACAATCCTAGATGGCTGCCATTTTTCACAAGAGATGGAGATGCTGGGAGCCTTTGGCAGACTGAATAAAGAGGTTGAGCATCTCCAAAGTAATAAAAAAGACTTCGCCTCTTCCACTATTATGCAGTTGGTGAAGGTACAGAGCCCTAGACTTTTGGTTTTTCAAGGTGACTCTCCAACCCAAAGGATGGAAGATGTTTCTGATTGGGCTTCATCCATGGAGTCACCAAAACACCGTGTGGGTTAAATGTTGAGTGAGGGTTTTGTATCTCCAGCCTTCCAGGACATATTGGGACGAAAGATGATCTTCACAGTGGCAAGCTGCAATGTGATGGGGAGAAAGATGGGAAAGGACCCCAGGCTTCTTGGGAACAAGCTCACTTTGAGATGGAACCGTGTGGGGAGGTTCAACCGTGCCCCAGATGTCAGCCTTATTATTTGTGATGTAAAGAAACCTGGGAAATTTGGCTTGACGGGGGACTTCACGGGTTGCAAGGACTCTACAAGTTACAGTCCAAAAAGAGAGAAAGAGAAAAGAGATTTATTAAGGCTGTGAATACAACTATAGTGATGGAAAGCCTTAGTGATCTGGGATAAGAAGTCAACTTGGGGGTGGGAGAAGCTCTCAGTTTTAGAATCTTAAAACTGAACTGAGTTATCAGGATTTTAGGCTCCTTATGGGCTAGAGGTTCCGCCAAATTAGGGAACCTCTAGTCCGGAGGTTCCCTATCTTGGGTCTCCAGGTATTCTTGGACTACAACTCCCAGAAGTACTGGCCAGCACAACTAGTAGTGAAAGCTTCTGGGAGTTTTAGTCCTAGAATATCTGGGGATCCAAGGTGGGGAGCCGCTGATGGACCACTATCTAGAAAGCTACTAAACTTTTGGCATTTGCAAACCCTTTACCCCCCCAATAGCCATAACTCTTTACCCCCCAATAAGCCATAAGAGGATTGGAGTCTCAAAAGACAGGGCAACCCTATCTGTTTCAACTAAGTTATGGCTTCCTTACAAAGGACCCTGAGAAATGAAATACTGTAAGGAAGCTAACATCTTCCAGCAAACACACCGTCAAGAATTTTTGGCCACTTTCAAGGTGGACATACTTTATTGGGTGTCAGCTTTTGTATGCTGCATTAGACGCATCTGAAGAAGTGGGTAACAGCTTGTGAAAGCCAACAGCCGATCAATCTTGCTAGCCTTTAAGATGCAAGAAGGTCTTAGTTATTTCTGCTGCAGCAGCTAACATAGCTACTCTCTCCTCGACTTTCCCGCAAAAGCTACAGTTCCCACAGCAAACGGGAGAGATCCAAAACCCATTTGAGCTCGTAGTGAACATACATGGGCCAAAATGCAGACTTTGGTAGAGTGGAAGATCTGTGAAGCGTCAAGGGGTTGGAACAAAATCTTCTGAAACTTATGTGGTACAGAGGGATTGCGGTAGAGCCACAGCTTGGAAACATGGCTATTTTGTACTACAACTCCCAGAATCCCCCAGTAGGCATGTCCACTGGACACATTGACTTCAGAATCCTGGGAGTTATTTTTAAAAAAGGCAGCAGGAGGAGAATACTTAAGGCTCCGGTTAGAAAAAAAGTACTCTTGAGTATCCCAGTCTCCATGATTTTCTATTCCATTGACAGTTGTTTTTACGGTACTTACCCATTTTATTATGTTTTTAAAGTAGACCTGTGCAACACAAGGCTTGCATATACGCAGACACTCCTGGTTGCTTGTGGCCAGTAGAAAAGTCCGTGGTAGCCACTGCCTGCATCGACTGTCAGAATCTGTGTCGGTTAATAACATTTGCAGATGTGTTTATGATACTGGAACCATATTGGAATAAGATCTCCCTTTGGCTGAGCCGAAGCACAAGAGGAAGGCGGAATTGGGAGTCAGAATTCTCCCATTTTACTTCATTTCATTTTTTTTTCTCCTTATGTGCAGAAAAGGAAATCGCCTACAATCTGTGTGAGACAGAAATATGGGAGTAATATTCCGTCGGTTGGTTGGGTTTTTGCACAGCTGTCCCGTGTACAGGGTCTGTAAATATGAAGCACATTAGAATTGTTGGGGGGTGGGGAGCATTATGAATGAAAGAGATGATGATGTCATATGTATTTCTGGGAATAGGTCTCCTTAAACTTTGTTCTACTGAAGGCCATTATTGTGGCTTGATAGTTCTTGATTGGGCTGTCCCTTTTTTCCTTTTCTTTATTAGCCCTTGTGCATCATGGCCTCTCAGTTAAATGCTCACTTGTAGAGCTGCAACCCAGCAGGGTAAAAAAGCATATTTGACATATACAGTATAGTTTTTTTCTGGGTTGGTTTTGTTTTTTGGGGGGGGGGGTTGGACTTGTTTGCTTGCAGACATCTGCATTGCTGAAGAGCGAAGCTCCTTTTCATGTTTTAGATTTTGCAATCCATGGGGAAAAGAGGGTTGCCTCTTTGGCCTAGGGTAGAAGCACTAAGGAATCATTCCCAGTTTCCAAAGTTTACTCTTGGAGGGATGTGGAATCCCTGCATCGAAAGGTCAGCAAAGTCTTAACCTCTTCTCTTAGAAAAGGGGAAAAATGATCAGCTTGGATCCTTCTTGGTTAAAGGAAACATTTTTTAAAAAAAGGCTTTTGCTTCCAGTTCATGGCTTTTGCTGTTTTATATGGATGATGGGGATCGACATCTTCACACATTGATCTTCGGAGAGCCGAAAATAGAAGAGGGAGGAAAAGTGGCTAGCAAAGGAAACCACAGGAAGGAAAGGTTAGTCTCAGAATTTCTGACATGTAGGGAAAAACCCTTCCTTTATAGTGATGGATAAACAGCATGCTCCCCCACTGTTAATGGAGAATCAGGACAGATTGTATTTTTCCAAAACATAAAAATACTTCCTTTTTGGTCCCCTATGGAAGTGCACTAAAGATCAACAGTGGCTTGTTAGACTGTAGACCCCCCCCCCAAATAGTACTTAAAGGTCAGAAGAACTAAAAAGTTCGGGTGCAGTGTGCAATATTTTTTTTACTGCCACTTTACCTCTAAAAATTGATATGGAGGCAATCTAGGGTTAATTTTGCCTACAAGAGGACATGAGTCATTCCCAGTTTAATTGAGCCTCTGATCTGTACCAGAAAGGTACAGATAATTTTGAAAGGTAGTCCTACAGAGGAGAGGCAGGCTCTGTTCTCCATCATCCCAGAGTATAGGGCATGTAATAATGGGCCCAAGCTACAGGAAGCCAGGAAAAACTTCTTAACTGTTCGAGCAGTATGACAAATTACCTGAGGAGATGGTGAGCGCTCCAACTCTGGAGGCATTCAAGAGAAAATTGGGTAACCCTCTGTCAGATTTTGCTTTGATTTGGATTCCTGCCTTGAGCAGGGGGTTGGACTTGATGGCCTTCGAGGTCCCTTCCAACTCCATGAT